TGGGCATTTGCATCGTCCCGAGAGCGTGCCTGCTGTTGCCTCCGTGGAGACCAGGCGACACTCTGTCAAAGTGAGGGGGGTTGCGTTCTCTGTAAAGGCATGAAGTTTGTCGTCCTGGTCTCAGGCTTCCTGGTAACGGGAAGACGCTGGCGGCTGGTTGTAAACGCACATGTGTTCAGTGCAGCCCCCACGCTGGGAGGACAGCCCGACCCTGCAGGCCCATCTGCCCTTCGACCCTGCAGGCGCGTCCGCCTCCCCGACCCTGCAGGCCCGTCCGCCCCCCGACCCTGCAGGCCCGTCCGCCCCCCGACCCTGCAGGCGCGTCTGCCTCCCCGACCCTGCAGGCCCGTCCGCCCCCCGACCCTGCAGGCGCGTCCGCCCCCCGACCCTGCAGGCGCGTCCGCCCCCCGACCCTGCAGGCGCGTCCGTCCCCTTTTCTTTGTGTGTCGTCATGTTCTGGACTCACCATCTCTGTTACCTTAATAAGCGGCGAAAAGACAGACTCATGCCTCGCTGGCCCCACGCAGAGGGCTTTCTCATGAGGCTGCTGGCACGCAGCCCTGCGCACAGTGGGACTTGCGGATTCCGGGCGTTACTCCACGCCATTTACATCGTCATTTTTCTCAGTTTAAGGGGTTTGTAAATATTCATTCAACTTGAGCATGTTTCTAGTGCCCTTTTCCAGCTGCATAGGTTGCCTGTGGGGAGCCTGTTTGTGTGCTTTTTGCTTTTCGGGGTGTCCTCGGGGCCTGATGGGCACTGCCGTCTTCCCAAGTGGGCCGTGGAGAGGAGACACCCCCACGAGCAGGGCTGTTGCTGCTGGGAGCGTTGGAGGCGATGGGAGGACGTGGATCTCTGGTTTGAGCAAACGTTTGCTGTGTTCGTTTTTCCTGCCGCGTGGTTTGTGGAAGCTCAGATAAACTGTGGTTGCTTGCTGAGTGTAAACTGAGTCACATGCTAAGACCCCAGCCACCAGCAGACCTGTGGTTCCCGGAAGGGACTTGGACCGGGCAGCGGAGCCCCAAGCTGCACTCCTGGTGGGGAAGCGCGGGCAGGGCTGAGCCTTGGGAGCCGCCTTGCGCCCTTCCTTCCTGCCGGGAAGAGAAACTTGAGCCCGAGCAGCCCTGACTTTGTCCAAGGTTGTCAGCAGGGCTTGGCGGCCTGGGAGGAGAGCCTGAAACCCTCGGATCCCTCCCTCCCTCCCTCCAAGAGCATCTGCATCAGAATCCTGGTCCTTCATCTTCCCGTGACTCCAGGAAGACTCGCCAGTCACTGCTGATCTGGCCTGTAAACAGTTGGCCATCACGTCTGGGAAAAGGGCCTGAGCAGGAATCCCCTGAAGACATTGAAGCGGGTAGGGCCCTGGGGCGCACTCACCTTGGAGAGAACCCACAAAGACTTTCAGACATTTTTTCTTAGTTTAATGTATTTGTAATTTTTCTTTTAATCTGATTTTGATGTAACTTCAGATTTCAGAAAGGTTGCAAGGCCAGTGTGGAGAAGGCCCATCTGCCCTTGGCCTCCACCACCCAAATGCCAGTCTTCTGCCGTGTTGGCCATGTCCCTCCTGCCCCC